GCACGGGGCCCGCTGCTGGGGCCCGGCTTCACGCCGCGGTCCGGGTGCTGCCTGCGAGCCGGGCTCAGGGACTGAAGTTTTAGCTTTTAAAATCGTTGCACAGACATCACGTTTTTTAAAGTATATTTTTATTGATGTCAGAGAGGAAAGGAGAGGGAGAGAGAGAAACATCCATGATGAGAGAGAATAATGGATCGGCTGCCTCCTGCACGCCCCACACTGGGGATCGAGCCCGCAACCCGGGCATGTGCCCTTGGCTGGAATCGAACCTGGGACCCTTCAGTCTGCAGGCCGACGCTCTACCCACTGAGCCAGACCGGCCAGGGCTAGACCACATTTTGGACAACCTTGAGGGTCTGTCCTGCTACCTGGTGTTAAATTTCTGTTTTCCGCGGCTTTGCCTGAGTAACCCTGCTCAGTTATTGTACAAAGAGCTCCGGGCAAACCATGTGGCACCGATGTCTGCCTTGAATGGCTTTTTTTAGAGCCACTGTCTTTATTGCCTTAAAATGTTCCACGTGTGTGGGGGGGGGCGCAGTGGGGGGGACCCATCATCAGATGTGATGCAGCCTGGGCTGACTCCCACGGGCACCTGGGCTCCTCCGTGTTCTCTGCGCCGAAGGACAGGGGTGTCGCAGGGAGTAACTCAGCGGCCGGATGACACTTTCCATTAGAATATTTTACACTGCGGCCGGAGGTGGCAGCTTTATGCGCGGCGTTCATGTCCTGGTTATTAAAGTTTTTATTGAGTCGCTGTATCGGGGACCCACTGCTTCGGGGAGAGCGTTTTCACGGGTGAGCGCACCACGCACGGCACAGATGGGGACACGCAGGCCCACGCGGAGGCATGACCCGCGCGAGCAGAGGCGCTGAGGCCGCGGTAAAGTCCGCAGCCTGTTGGGTGTTGGTGCTGAAGGCTGTTCCTCCAGGAACATAGGCTGTCCCACAGCAGGAAGCGGCACAGGCAGCTCAGGCCTCAGACCTGCACCTTTGTCGTCGTTGCCGAAATGTGCATGACGGTCCTAGCGGGGGCTCGGGGTGCAGGGGGCGGGAGGGTGGGATTCGGGGGCTCCAGCGCCGTCTGAATTCACCAAGGCCGCCTTTCCAGAAGTCTTCCCCCGGCTTTAACCTTTCGGAGAACACCTGTGTTTCTAAGGTCCAACCTGAGAGCATGCCTCCTCCGAGGAGCCCTCCCTGACCGCCCACTTCCTCGTGGGCAGGAAAGCTCCCTTATCTGCTCTCATGGTGGGGCCCGTCTCCCCATGAGGTCGGGCCTGTCATGTGACCCACGTCCCCATACACGCCTTCAGCGCGGGGCACAGAGGTGTGTTTCCGGCCTTCCCTGCAGGGATGTGCACAGACTAGCCCTGTCAGCATCTGCTGGACGGTTTGATTCTATTAAACCGACCTGGATACGGCATTGATCAGGGACCCAGCAGGGCCCGGTGCAGTGCCGGGTGCCCCTGATGCTGCGGCCACATGCCCATGCCCGGCCCAGGAGGGAACTGAACCCCGATTTCTGAGGTTCTCCCCGACTGTTCGCCAGCCTGCTGGCTTTGGCCCGTACTCAGCGTTGACCTTCGAACATGTGTTGAGGTCCACAGAGCCATGGACACGAATGAAAACACACTTGGGTGGCTGCCGCATGACACGCGCCTCACTGCCTTTAGGGAAATCGCTTTGACTCTTTAAAGGATTGAATGCCGCGCCCTGGCTGGTGTTGCACAGTGGCTAGCACGTCCGCCTGCGGACTGAAGGGTCCTGGGTTCAATTCCAGTCAAGGGCACACCCCCAGGCTCAATCCCCAGAGGGGGACGTGCAGGAGGCAGCCGATCCATGGTTCTCTCTCTTCGTTGTTGTTTCTCTCTCCCTTCCTCTCTGACATTAGTAACAATATATTAAAAAATCATAAGATTTTAAAGAATTGGATGCGCTTTTTGAGCCACAATCCTGCTGCAGTAACTCTCCTCTCCTCCCCTCCCCTACCCTCCCCTA